TGGGGCCCTGTGAGAGGCTGCAGGACCCAGTGATGATGAAGGGAGGTGGTGAACTCAGGGCCAGAGCCCACCAACATGCAGCCAGTGAATGGAGCTCAATGCCCCCTGACTGGAGCTTGCCACCCGCCACCCCACAGCTGAAGGCTGACCTCACTGCCCCCAAGAAGGTGGAAATCTCACCAGATGCCTGCTCCTCTGCCACCCGCCACCCCACAGCTGAAGGCTGACCTCACTGCCCCCAAGAAGGTGGAAATCTCACCAGATGCCTGCTCCTCCAGCTTTGTGTCTGCAGAGGGGGGCAGGGCCCTCTGCTACTGCTGCCAGCACCAGAGGAGGGGTCACTGCTTTGCCTCCCGCCCCAATCACCGCCCAGAAGGTGTGGCCGGAAGAAAAGCCCGGCATTGGCCACTGTCAGAGGACAGGACAATGGGCTAGATGGCTGTTCTTATGTTCTTATGTACCCGCACCATTAACACAACCCTGACCTAGAAGAATGTAGTGACCACTTCTAAAGGAAAAAGGAAAAGAGCAGTCTCAGCACCCACTGAACCCTTGGCTTTTCCAATGAAACCAACAATATTTATGCTAGTGGTACAGACTCAGCATTAAAAGCCAGGCTGAGTGCCACAAGCTCATTTTACATACGTCTCAAAACAGCCATCAAATGATAACTACTTATGGTTTTTACCAGTCTGGCTATCTTTAAACCGGTGACCCAGGGATTGCAGACTTAAGTATCTGCTTACCTAATTACTAAGGTAACCTAAACTTAAGCATTTAAATAAGTGAGCTAATTTTTTTAACATACTGTGAACCTACTGAGCTCACTGGGAAATGCAGCTGCTCCATATTTCTGAATAATTAGGCCCCTTCAGTAGATGTCTACTGAGTGTCTAACGCCACACATTTGAAAACATTGGCCATAGTTCCTTTCGCCAGTGCTTTGTACCCACAGAATCAGAGCTGACATTTCAGCTTCAAACAGCTTATTCTCTAGGGGTACGTCTACACAGCAACATTATTTTGAAATAACTAGTGTTATTTCGAAATATCTTGGACCACATCTACACAGCAGGCAGTTATTTCAAAATAAAGTCGAAATACTGTCAAGCTGCAGGACTTCTTACTCCGACTCTTGTAACCCTTGTTGTAGAGGAGTAAGGGAAGTTGGAGGAAAAGTGTTCTATTTCAAAATAAGTGTTGTGTAGATTTTTCTAATTTTGAAATAAGCTATTTCAAAATAAGCTATGCAATTGACGTAGCTCAATTTGCATCGCTTATTTCAAGTTAAGCCCTGCTGTGTAGCTCTGATCCTGTCCCAGAGAAATCAATGGAAGTTTTGCCATTGACTTCAATGTAACTAGATCAGGTTATTGGAATTTACCTGCACTCTATTTATATATGATAACATGCCATGAGCACACTGTAAATGCATAGACTGATACAATTGATAGTTTAAATCAGGGTTCATCAAGCGTTTTCAGAACTGGAACGCATTTAACTGAGGGATTGTCTGTTAGGCCTCATTTATTCCATGATTTTACAGTCTGTCTCCCCTTCCTGTTCACAACCCAATAATCCCAGTGTCAACTTCCGCAATTGGTTTAATGGAAAAGTGAGACCCAGAAACCTAATGCATTGTTAGCTGTCTTTTGTTGCAATTAAGCAACTGAAGATACATTTGGGAGCAACCCTTTGTGACATGCCAGCATGTCATGGACCATCCAGGGCCCGTTTTGGATGCCTCTGAATCAAAAATATAAACATGAGTGACAACTCTCTTTGTGGATGGACCACTGAGTCTGCTCAG